CTACTCATATTAGTGAGTAGTACGGTTGACGCGCGTTCAGGCGGTGATTGCTGCACAATGTTCGAAATGAACCAGACCTCATAGAGTGAGTAAGTGCATTCGAAATTGCAAATAAATGAGATGCAACCATACTATCGGGCTGTTCCACCAATTATTCTGAGCGTTTGTCCAAAGCATGATTAAATTGTGTTGGATGACAAGCTTCGTTCTTTGTAATTCAGTTTTTCGATGGTCATGTCATTCTCTCAAGAGGACGTTTTATCTCGGATCGGCACTCAATTGGTGGACATGTTGCACTAGGATACGGCCTACTCGTGAGAGAGAGTCATGAGTGCTACTGAAAGTTCGTATTATGAAACCTCACTTTTGCGGATACAATGTCCGTAAAAATATCGATTCCTCGGTTTGTGTAATGAATGAAATAGAAACATCCATTCGGTATTTTTTCAAGATTTACCACCATTCGATTATTTTTCCTATGCCAGAAGTAGGGAATTTTTGATTAATTCGGTTCATTTTGAAAGGAAGCCAATGATCAGGGGATGAAAATGGGAATCCCATACATTTTTGGGGAAAACATACGGGTGAATAGGTTTTTTTCGTATCTGAGATTAAAATATCCCCTTGATTTGGAAAGGAGAGAAAGCACAGTCAAACTGAGGGTAAGATGATGTAATGGTTGAAGTATGCACAGATCACGGATTACGAATCACGTATCAGGAATCACGGACGCCACTGAAGCACCGAATCACACTGGCACTTGCACGACGGTATCCCACGTAACCGAGACGCAAAGAAAAGAGCACAGAGGTAGCAGTTCGTTTAGTGGAAGAAACCACGGAGGTTAAATAACACGGACAAAAGAATTTTATCAATTATTCAGGCATCTACCACTTGCGTGCTCGTATTCTCGATGTCGTATAGCTTCTATCTGGGTCGCACGGCTTCTGATTGGTCTGCACAATGGGCCTGTGGTTNGTTCGTTGTCCATAAGCTGTAACCCGTAGGAGCTTTGCTGGAGTCATTTGGGAAGCTTGACTCATCACGTCTGTCAAGAAACTGTAATGTGGCGTTTTGAGGTTTGCACCACCCGGTAGGCTAGAATCACCACAGATAATGAGCTTCTTTGATGCATACTAAAAGTCATGAGCATTCCGCCTGTTTCACTTAGCCAGGGGACTAGGGACGGTGTATGGTTCTGTAAAATTTAATAGAGATTAATCTGGAATAAGTATGGACACATGAAAATTGGTCATGATGGAATGACTGACTGTGAGGGGAAAATCTGGGACGATGCTCAAGAGTTTGGTGATCCATACTTCCAGAATTATTCAGTGCACCTGAAGAAATAGTAACCTGTCTTTTATTTACACCGTATGTCGTCCTGTATCTAGCACTCGAACCCTTAAGTGTGACTTCCTAGTTCTCAAGGTCTCGATTCAATCCAAAANACCGTTTAATTTATTAAATTTGGTACACCCATCCTTCGGTGTAACGGAATGTTTGTGTTGATCAATCAAGGAATGACCGTCTTGACAGAAGGGATGCATACATACGTTTTTTTATTCGAGATAGGGTGTGGATATGAGTAAGTTTATTTCTTTTAATCTACACCTTATTTTTTATTACACGCTTGTGTGATGAACAGCATGCGGGGCAGGCCTTATAATCACGAAGACATGCTGTTCATTGATGGAAACCGGTAACCTAAGCCCCGAGACTTCGAGTGGTGAACTACATAAACTCCACTAAGTTAGGCTTGGTATTCAATCCGATAAACTTGAACAACATTAAAAACGATTGTGGCGACCAGGATGTATGCGATGTGGAAAACAGATGTAATTTAAGCGACCCACTGGAAATTGTACTATAAAAGCACGATTGAGGTAATTTATGCAACCTTTGTGGACAGGATAAACAATTCAAAGTAGCGCCTTTGAAAAAAATGCAATGAACCAATCACACCCCGATGCTTTTCAAAACAAATGAGAATAGTATTTTCTTATCAATTAGTGTTGTTTTTCTTTTACTTTTTTTTCTCTAGGTAATTTTAGTATGTTAGAGATACGTTTCGTGTACACTTGGGCTTTGATTTGGTGAACAGGAAAAGTATACACAATTAATAATTTCATTTCAAACCTAAAAATATCTTCCACTTTTCTTTTTGTATGGTTTTTCTTTCCGATTAATTCTTGCATGTGTCGCAAAAGTGATAGTTACATTTTCTTCTAACAACTGTAAATTTGAGTCATACATGCAAAGCTCACTAACATTGCAAACGACTTCAGAAGAAAGTTCAACTGTTTTAGAGAAAATGATACTGGTCAAGGATGGCGCCGTCCACGGAGCAACTTGAAATATACTTTAATAGCCCCTGGGAAGATCGAGCATCCGGCCAACGATATCATCGACAGCAACGTGTATGCATATGAAAATGGCTTCCGGTAGTATACCTAAACTAGAACTAATGATTTTTGATTGATCCTGTTGTGTAGTCGAGAAGTGAGCTAGCCGTTTTATCTTCCTCCCTCTTACCTTTGGCTTGCAATCATGCGACATCGGTCCAGTAGTCATTATTCACTGAATGTTGTACCGATGGAATTCAAACGCACCATATCCGGATCTATATGGTGGACATATTATTTGCTCATCAATACGAGAAACAAGTTAATGGAGGACAGATACTGAGAGTCTGGTCTACTTATCCGAGCGCATGTTTCATGTGTTTATTTGCAAAAGTTTAGAGAAAAAAGCTATATATATACATATATATATATATATATATATGTATATATATATATATCACCGGCTTGTGATTGATCCCGGCGAGAACACAACAACGATAATACAAGAGGAAGAGGGTTTGGGATACAAATCAGAGTGAAATGGTGGTAGAACAGTTACAGTAAATAACAGCCAGAGAACCCGACCACTGCTTATTTTTTTCAACGACCAAACTACCATTGATCGATCACTGCAAACAAACCTGTGAACGTTGAAACTGCGTATCAATCCGACGGATGCGAAGCACAGCTTGCCTACAAGTACCAGCAAAAATACGTGTGAGGAGCATTTGCTCCGTAAAATTCGTGGGGTTTATGGTTTTTAGGTTATGCGGTCACTTGTCATGTCTACACTCGAATTATATCAAGACAGTCAGTTGGTCAGATTCTCATCTATTCTCCCGTTAACTAAATCGATCATTAAATTTTTCTGCATGAAAATGAAAAAACATTTAACCACCATAAAACCATGTTTTTGATGTGTTCATTTTATTCCAAATTCCAATCGTTCACAGATTTTGGGTAAAGGATCATGTACTAAGGACCATCGGATTTATTTATATGAGGATTTGCCTTTCATCCGTCAAAAGATACATGAAATATATCGACTAGTCGAAAATGGTCATATTTTGTGGTGCAATTCAAAATATGAAAGGTCGTGGCAGAGTAGAACTACAATGCAATTAGATACCACATGTGATCTTTTTTAGTCACTAGTTGTTCCGTCTGCGACCCAGGAGATGTGTGATAGCATTCACTGGTTTAAATCTTAGGTACATCAGAACTCATCGTTTGCACTGCGCAAAAAAGCCCTCCTCCCTCCCCCATATGAAAAATGGTTCCGTATCCAAAGCCATCCGTTCAGAATGCATTAATGTAGCCAAAATGACACTTTTACATGAGGACAGCATGAGTTTTGCTTTCATGTTAAAAACAGATGTGCATTTTGTATTTTGAAGACCAATATGCATATCTGTTCTTGTAAGTTCTTTGGTGCTGTCTTAAGTGAAGTTTGTCTCGTGTGAAATCGGAATGCCAAAGTTGGGGAAGCCATGCCATGGTATCACTAAACGTTTTGGTTTTCAAGACTGACAGTGGACAAATAAATGTATCGATCGATCACAACATTTTATCTCAGCTTTCCAAAATCGTATTACGCAGGCTCCCAGGAAGAAGCATCTTTTTAAAAATCATTCTACGGTGGCTCTCACTTAATAATAATGCTTACTTCAGTTTTTTCCAAAAAACCTTGGATCATATCCGTAATGTTCAGCTCAAATTCTTTGATAACTTCTTCTAGTTGCTCGACTAAAATCATTTCATTTTTCATCAGGTTGTACCAGAGTTTCTGCAGACGCTCGGAATACTCGGCCACAATGAACTCCACAGCCACAGAATCCGTCAGATTTTCCAACTCATGAAATTTCTGTGCGGTTGAAAAGAGGAAAGCGGAAGTGAGATTATTTGTGATTAGATCTGAAACGCCATCGTGAACTAGTTTGCATTAGCTCGGTAAGGCATCATACAAGATGTTTACTAACGAAGGGAATGCTATCCGTTTCATTCGTCATTTGACGAATAGAAATGCAAAATTTTCTCCTATGAGCAGAAATCAGCCCATCACTTTAGTTGAATAGCAACCCAACAGAAATGTATTTCGCGCTTAATCATACAAATATACTGTTAGGACGGAGCTTAAGCACCCCATCCGATCACGCACGCCTCCGAGTCAGGCCACACGCACGCTCGCAACGCGTCAGACAAGCTGAGCCCGATTGGAACGAATCAGTCAATGTTTGTCCAATCGATCACTCGATATGTCATGGACGCAAGCTGATTGATTGGTGCGTCACTGCGCCGTTGTCGTACGCGTGATTTGTTCTATATATTTGTGTATCTGTGATGTGTGACACTGACCTCGAAATTCATTGTACACTTTAAATGCATTGAATA